GAGGTGGGTGGGCGATGGTGAGGTGAGCGGGCGATGGCGAGGTGGGCGGGCGATGGTGAGGTGGGTGGATGAATGGTTGCAGACATGAGTATCTGTGTGTAGAGATGGGTGGGTTGATAGGTGGGTAGATGAGTGACTTCTGGATGGATGGGTGGGTCTTTGTCACCCTACGGATGGGCTCACGTGCCACTGCACAGAATGGGGGTGCCCTGTAGAGGATGGAGCAGAGCCCAGTAGACAGGAAAGTGCCGCTCTGGAGACAGAGTTTTAGAACTTTGCTCTAAGTGCATCCCCTCTATGTCTCTTGGGCCAGATGGGATTGATTTTTTTTTTTTTAATGAAAATGTGTAATTATCGACACTTTGGATTTTAGTGTTAAGTTGGTCGCTGCAGCTGGCCTGTAATGGAAGGAGGCGGCATCCTGACTTACGGGCAACTCCAAGGAGGATGGCCCAGGGCTACCACCAAGTCCTCAGTGGACTGAGAAGCCTGAAGGCCAGCTGGCTCCCAGCAGCCCCCGTGAAGCTCTGCTGTCATGGGGTGAGCTCCTTGTTTGGGGGGTAGCTGTGGGTTCGAGCACGCCTGGGGCAGCCGTGTCCACCTTGCAGTGCCACCAGCGTCTCCTGAGAAACAGCCCACAGGCTGTGCAGTGAGGCCCACCTCAGGTCTTGTACTTCACAGACACCTGTCCTCCATTACAGATGGACGGTAGTGCAGTGAGCTGAGTGCTCAGCGCTCCTGAAGCAGTTTACACTTTGGAAGCCAGTCCACCCTCCTGGAGTGTCCGTGGGCATCAGGATGGACTCAGGGAGAGGGACAGCTGCGGTCAGCGCCGTCTTCACAGCAGCCTGTGCCCAGCGTGCCTGGGTCACATTTTGGTCATCCTCAGAGTCTTTCAGATGTGTTCGGATGCTCTGGTGGCGTCGTGTGTTACTTGTTGATTTGTTAACCAGTGGTTGATGGTTCAAATCCTCCAGTTGCTCCCAGGGAAGAAGATGGGTCATTTCCTCCTGTGTCCATAGCTTCAGGGGCTCGAGGAGGACTACTGGCCACGAAGGCAGTGGGAGCTGCAGACCGTGCAAATGGGGGTGTCATTATGACTTTCCTAAGTGTGTATGGTGTTTGCTGTATTGAGGGGTATGGGCCAAGCCTGGGATCTGTGAAATAGGGCTGCAAGTCTGGGAGTCTGGACGGGGAGGTTCATGTGTCCAGCTGCTAATGCAGAGGCTGAAGGTTCGAGCCCACCTAGAGGCTCCTTGGGAGAAAGGTCTACTGAGAAGCCAGCCACTGAAGACCCCATGGTGCTTGCTCTGCTCTGTACAAGGTCAGGCGCTGGGCTTGGCTCAGTGCAGCTGGTCCACAGGCCTGTGATCTATGGACTTCCTGTGAAGGGCAGGCGTGGAGGTGGCCTCCACCATGACGGGGGTAGTCAGAGGCAGGGCTGTCTGGGGGAGCAGGATTGTGTGGTGAGGCCGGGCTCGCAGCCTCTGCTGCACCTCTGGCTATGAGGTGAGCAAGGCCAGGGCAAAGGGCAGAGGCACCCCAGCCTCTGGAATCCGTGGGTCAGCCACCCTTAGCCTTTGAGGCCCAGTGGGACCCCAGGTCCCTGTGGTGAGTGTGAGTGGGGACAGAAGCTCTGTGGCTTTGCACAATGTCTGATGCACATGAGCAAGGCGTGCTCGTGCTGTGGGGACTCGGGTGCTCAGGACCTGCGTGGGGCGTGGGCTGGGTCCTGCTGCTCTGTGTGACACCCTCTCCTCCCTGCAGCCTGTCTGTTCCGTGTCAACGCCCTGTCACTGGTCTACCTACTCTTCCTGCTGCTCCTTCCCTGGGTCGAGGGTCCCACCCCGCGCACCGTCCGAGGTAAGCACCCACCCCGCGCAGCATCCGAGGTAAGCACCCACCCCGCGCAGCGTCCGAGGTAAGCACCCACCCCGCGCAGCGTCCGAGGTAAGCACCCACCCCGCGCAGCGTCCGAGGTAAAGGCCCCACTTGGGGCCAGCTTCCCTGGCAGCCTCAGGTGAAGGTGAAGAGGACTCAGGGCCCAGGAAGAAAAGGGACAAGTCCCCCAGGTGAAAGGCCAGGGGCACCTGAAGCTTTGTAAACAGCCAGCAATTAAACTCTTCCTTTGATTGCTTTGTTCTCACTGGGGATAGGGGTCATGGGAACCCCAGGAAGCCCAGCCCTTCCCTAGGTGAAGCCCTTTCCTGACCTGGTGCTCAGCTCCCACGCCACAGGCTCTCCGCGTGTGTTGTGTGTCCACATGTGTCGGTCTGTCCACGTGTACCTGTGTGTCCACATGTGTCAATGTTTCCATGTGTGTCTGCGTATCCACATGTGTTGGTGTGTCCATGTGTCCGTGTGTCCACGTGTGTCTGTGTGTCCGCGTGTCGGCGTGTCCGCGTGTGTTGGTGTGTCCACCTGCATGTGTCCACCTGTGTCCATGTGTCCACCTGTGTCCGTGTGTCCACGTGTGTCCGCGTGTCGGCGTGTCCGCGTGTGTTGGTGTGTCCACCTGCATGTGTCCACCTGTGTCCACGTGTGTCTGTGTGTCCACATGTGTCTGTGTGTCTGCGCGTGTCGGTGTGTCCGCGTGTGTTGGTGTGTCCACCTGCATGTGTCCACCTGTGTCCATGTGTCCACGTGTGTCTGTGTGTCTGCGCGTGTCGGTGTGTCCACGTGTGTTGGTGTGTCCACCTGTGTCCATGTGTCCGTGTGTTGGTGTGTCCGCGTGTCTGTACTCGTGTGAGCACACATGCATCATCCATGTTCCCTCTGAGGCTCATCCTGTCCCTCTCAGTCCTGTCTCCTCTGTGTCTGTGTTCATGTGAGAACATGCATGTCTCTTGGTATTCCTGTGTGTCTCTGTGTACATACATGTCAGTGTGTACACGTGTATCCCTGTGTTCATGGTGTAAGAATGTATTCATAAGTGCATTCATGTTTACATATGTGGTCAGATGTGCACATGTGGTCAGATGTCCATGTGTGTTCACGTGGTCCACGTGTATTCGTGTGTGTCTCTGTGTGCGCATGTTTCTGTTTTCATGTATGTCTGTTCAGGTGTTCACGTGTTCAGGTGTCCGTGTGGGTCTGTGCGTACACGTGTGTGCACCTACATGCAGCGTCTGTGTTCTCTCGGAGCTCGTCCCCTTGCCCTCGTCCCGTCTTACCCTGGGTCCGTGGCTGTGGAAGCTGGTCTCTCGGTCGTTGTGTCCATGGGTGCTGCAGGCACTTGGGTCCACACTGGCCCCTTCTGAGTGTGGAGCACCCAGGAGCCGGGGCTGAACCTCACTGACAAGTGTGCAGATGAGGAGCCTCAGGGTCGGTGTGTCCACACGAGGGTCTGAGAGTCTTGGGGGCCCTGGAAGGTCAAGGGCATGAGCAGATAGCCTTTGGTCTGGAGCTCCTGAGAGAGGTCAAGGCTGCATCCTTGGCTACACACGTGGGCAGGTGGGAGAAGAGGCCCCCCAAGCAGCTTCACGGCTTGTCAGCTCTGCAGACACTGAAGGTCAGGGTACCAGATGATGGGGTGCCATTCACAAAGACCTGCCCCCCTAAACTGACTCCCTGGGTGCACCATTCGCTTCTTGGAGACTCCTGGAGACTCAGGGGGCCCCTGGGAGGGGAGAAGCCCTCAGCTAGTCCTTCCTCCTGAGGGGAGAAGTACTAGGCTTTGTAAAGTGAACCCAAGAAAGTAACAGGTCACAGTGTTAGACTCTGCTCACGTGGGCACGAGCAGCAGCCCAGACCAGACTGAGGGCTGACTTGTCACTGCGGAGACCACCAGGAGCGTGGGGTGGTCACTGCCGGGGGCGGGGGGACAGGGCTCTCCAGGGCCGTGAGGTGGGGCGAGTTTCCTGTTGCTGCTGAAATAAATGAGCTCAGTGGCTTACTGTGTCCCCTCGGGGGGTGTGTGTGTCCCTCAACATGTCCCCTTGGGGTTAGTGTCCCCTCAGGGTTATGTCCCCTCGGAGTCCGAGTATCTCACTCACGATTCAGGAGACAGACTCTAGCAGGAGACCATGTGCTGGCCTGCTCCCTCTGGAGGCTGTGATGGACCATTGTCTGACCCTGTCCAGCTTCTCGAGCTGCCTGGACTTAAGGGCCATGCTCCCGGCCACCCTCCATCAACACAGGATCCACGGGTCTCGTCCTCCTCATACGGCCTCATCCCTCACGCCGCCCCCGCCTCCTTCACCTCCGAGGGCCCTGTCTTACGTCGACCTCCCTGAGGACTGTTCCTTTCCAGTCAGCTCGCCAGTGACCTGGATTCCCTGCCACCTGAGAGCCTTTGCCGGGTGACTCAGGTCATCCAGGGGCAGGAACGTCTTAGGGGCCACAGTTCAGCTACCTGCAGGGCGCCGCCCCCTGCCTGTCTCCCTGCCCGGGGCACTTCGTAGAGGCCACTGGTCCGGGAGGGGATAGAATTAGGGTGTTGGAGGGGAGGGCATTTCAGGGGTCCACACTAGCCAGAGCCCACCAGGACAGCTATCTGGGACCTGGTGGGGGCCCAGGTCAGCCTCTCCTCTGTGAAGAGTCTAGGGGGACAGAGTGAGGCCAGCTGGGCAGGCACTCCTCTCCAGCCCCTCCCTGCCTCTTTGTCCCCTGCTGAAAAAGCCATTCGTTCCGTAAATATTTCGTGCCCTGGTGCAAGTGGAAACACTTCGTTAGATTTCCAAATCGTGGTTCTGAGCCAGGAAGGGGGGCAGCCTGCAGGGGGAGCTGGGAAGAGGCTCCCCTGCTTGCCTCACTCTGCCCTCAGGGCTCCCTTGGGGCACTGCCAGCTTTCCCATGTGGGAGGAGGGATGTGAGATGCCCATCCTTGGGCAGGAGAGATTGGCCCTGCCCCACGTGGGCTCAGGAGGGGCATGGCAGGCAGGCCGGGAATGGGGAGAGGGAGTGGAGGATTCCCCGCGAAAGCTCGCTTCTTCCCAGGATGGACCTCCCATGGGGCAGCAGGGCAGGGACCCTCCCTTTGGGCCTGGCCCTCCTTCCATCCTGGTCTCTGGGTGGATTATATCTTGCATGTTCCACCCCCACCATGTTCCAGCCCCAGCTGTCCTTTCTTCTGCGTGCCGAGGGCCAGGTCCCAGCAGACCCTCCATTCCTCCCAGCTGTCACTCCTACCCCTCACCCGCACCCCCAGGCAGAGACAGTGCCTCCTCCTCGGCTCGCGTGCCCCCTGGTGGCTCAGAAGGCGCTGGGGCTGGGCTCAGTCTCCCCTGCACTACTGCCTGACCTCATGCTCCCTGGGACTCAGTGTCCCCATCTGTGAGATGGGTTTGTGGTAAGGGTAAACAGAACAACTTCTACATGTGGAAATGCAGGTTTAGTTGGGTCTGAAGCCAACAAGACCCAGCCCTGACACTCGTCCTGGAATGCCTGTCAGCTGAGGAGTGGGTTCCCCTGGCATGAACCATCCTCTGGTGGGCAAACCCCAAGCTGGCTCCTGGTCTGTGAGTTGGGGGCTTAGTGGAGCCCACCTTAGGCCGTGGTGAGAACAGGGCAGGGCTGACTGCTGCATGAGGTCACCGTGGTTATTGATGGCAACCAGCTTCACGAGAGGGCCTCTGTGGACCTCACTGCCCATCTGCCCACAGGTCACACTGGCCGCCTCCTCCGAGCCTTACTATGCACCAGCCTTCTCTTCCTGGTGGCCCACCTGGCCTTCCAGATCTGCCTGCACACCGTGCCCCGCCTGGACCAATTGCTGGGACCCAGCTGTGAGTCGGGGCAGCTGGAGGGGACGGGATGCTGTCTTCTGGCACTGCCCTGGAATGGCTGGAGGTCCCCCGTTTGTGCCAAGCCTGGCTGTCCACGCTCCAGTCATGATTTATGTCCAGAACACAGCCCGGTTAAATGTTCCCGGTAATAACCTGGCCGGGGCTCAGTTAAGCTCCAGCCCCAGGCCTGGCCCCCAGCTGCTGGCCCACCCTCCTGTTGACACCTTCTTCTGGTCTCAGGGCTGCTCTGGGGGCTGTGGGTATGACCCTGGGTCAGCCTTGTCTGACCACTTACCACCTCACGCCCTCCCCACTAGGATGGCCTCCTCCTGTGGGCACTCTGCTGGCCACTGGTGCCTGCAGCTCACCTCTGGCAGTGCCCAGTCCCTCCTCACCTCACGAGCTGTAGGAGGTGCCCTGTTTTCTCATCAGTTCTGAGGTGACAGTTCCCTTCTGCATTTTGAACCAGAGACCCAGAGTGGGCAATGTGCCAGCTGCCCTCAGCACTCCTACCAGCCCCTCTGAGGGGCTCTTAGGATTGGCACTGCCTGCCTTCAGCTGTCCCTTGGGCTCCCTGCTCTGAAGGCCCTGGGCTCTAGGACTGGTCAGGCCCAGGTGCCATCTACTAGCACAGGGATGCCCAGGTGACCCTGACCTCTCCTCTGCCTTTCCCTGCAGGCAGCTCCTGGGAGACCCTCTCCCGGCACATCGGAGTCACTCGGTAAGACTTCCTTAAGGGCCCTGGGCCAGAGTGGCTGGGAGGGGACCCTTGTCCTCTGAGGTCTCTACCCACGCTGCCCATTGACCCTCCCCAGGCTGGATGTGAAGGACATCCCCAGTGCTGTGCGGCTGGTGGCCCCTGACCTGGGCATCCTGGTGGTCTCCTCTGTGTGTCTCGGCCTCTGTGGACGCCTCACTCGGAAAGTCCAGCGCAGCCCGCACTCCCAGGAGCTGGTGAGGACTCGGACAGGGCATGGGGGGACTCACGCAGTGAGACCACTCCCCATCTGTGAATATCGGGAGAGGGTCCACTCGTGATGGGCGCAGGGCCGGAAGCTCAAAAGGGTGTCCCTCCAGAGCTGGGGCTCCCACAGTGGAGCCTACTTCTCATCTGTGAGTATCCACTTGTGTGACACATGCATGCCCAGGAGAGAAGGAGCCCTGCCTCCACAGTGTGTCCCCCGCAGCCTTGGGACTGTCCACGGGGACCCCTGAGGCCCAGGCACAGGGAGGTTAGTCCCTGGGGATGGGTGCACCGGCTGTGTCTTTGGAGCATACGGCCCTGGGGGCTTGGCCTCAGTCCCCCAACACCGAGCTTTAAGTCAGGGACCTTGTCTTTGGGGGTGAGGACTAGTGCAGCCCCACAGGGTCCAGGAGCCCCATGGCGTCTGTCCTGCATGTCCTTGTGGTCAGGCCCCCCGTGCCACAGCCTTGCCCAGTAAACCAGAGTGCTCTGACACAGCTGCTGGCCCAGGTTTGGCAGCCCAGGTGGCCGGCATGGGGTTCTGCCGGGGCCACGTCACTGCGCAGCACTCAGGTCACCTGTGCTTCCTCCCCACCCCCACATATCAAGTGGGAGAGCCGTGGACCCAGCGTGAGGACAGGGCCTCCATGGCCTAGCTGCTGGTTAAGCCGGGTGACTCACCTCCCTCACCTGGCCCCTGCTCACATGCCCCCACATGGGGCTAGAGCTTCCCCGTGTGGCCGTGGGGTACCTTCCCCAGCCTTGTGGGATCTGGCCAAGACAGCAGTGCCCACCTGCTCTCAGGGATCATGGGACTGCAGTGCCCCCTCCGCAGCCTGAGCTGTCGGCCCCGACATGGGCGGGACGAGGACAAGGTGGACTCTGGTTTCCCCATTAGTGGCCAGGCTTCCTGGAACAGTGCTGCCTGGAAAGGGCTGAACATCGGGCGGCCTGGGGCTGGGCTGGACAGGCTCCCAGGGAGAGAAGGGCCGCTCCCCACTGGGCTCCTGGCCACCCTGCCTGACAGGCTATGGCCTTAGGCCCACTCTGCTTCCAGCCCCAACAGGCTCAGACCAGGGCTGAACAGATGTCAGTCCTGGTGCTGAAGTCCAGGTGCAAGGGGCTTTCCAGCACAGACTTGACCCCCAGTTATAAAACACGGAGTGACACTGGACAGGCCCACCTTGGGCCATTCACCTGCTCCGTGGTTCACAGTGACCCAGAACATACACATGCCCACGTGTGGACGCTGGCCTGGGGTGCCCACTTACCCATGTGTGGACGCTGGCCTGGGGTGCCCACTTACCCACGT